GCACAGTTAGTATATTGAGACAACGTTGCCGAAAAAATTGTGTTCAAAAGATAATCCAGATTTTAAAATTGATTAACTTCAAGAATATTTGATTAAGAGAAGTAAAAATTCCCTCAAAACATATCAAAATTACATTGTTTCTGAATGCATAATTTCAACAACCTGGATGCTAACATTACTTGATAAATTGATTTTAAAATTGATGGTTATGGTAAAAAAGTGTGTTTCCAGTTTTCTTTTGCAGAAAATTTCTTGCAGAAACCTTTTTTTTTTTTATTAATTAATTATTTTCTAACCTCCAAACTGCCCATTGCATCTGTCACTTTAACCTTGGAAGTGAAACTTGAACTTCTTGCTCGCACAAGAATCAAATCTCGTCTCCCAATGTATCTATTCCGTCCACCTTAACCCAAAGAAATAGTTAGGTCACGTCTCACTCCGTCCATATCTTTTTATCCTCTTACCTTCAACTTCATAACATTAAGATAGTCGTCAAAAAGGTTCCTAGTGAGGATGTCCTCGCTCTGAATTAGAAGTATTGCTTCGTTGCAGATCCCCAGAGATTTTTATGTAATCTGTAACCTTTCTTTATGACGGCATGTATTCAAGTTTTTATTATAAAATAATTACAGGCAACGTTGCAATTTAATTGTAAATGTAAAACTTTTCAACACTATGAAATCAATAGGAGGTATAACAATGGGCTTTGATAAATGGCAATTAAAAAGACAAAAAAAAAATTCCAGAAAAATCATTGAAATCAGTTCTTAGATTAGTAAATAATTGTTGATATCAATGCAACAAAACATTTGTTTATCAATGTAATGATAACTTTTCTGTTAGCCAGTAAAAATGCAGTGATCTACTACTTTGTGCAATCTACATGTAAAATGTGAGAAAAGTCTTATGAGGGGACATGCTTTTATCAAAGTGCTTTAAACAAATCAACTTGTCAAGGGCCCATGCAATGAATACATAACTAGATTAATGAGGTGAGCTGCGGCTATGTTCTACAAAAATCTTAGACTCTTGCCGAATGGATACAGAGGAAACAAAAGTAAATACAAAAGTGATATTACAACTTGTTTAATGCCAAAATAGTTACATGTGAGGAACATTATTACAAAACGAGGTGTTTTCTCCTCTGAAAATTATTCAGCCTTCAAGATTCTTTCTCTAAGGTAGTGAGAGAGGATTATCTTTCTAATTTATTTTAGTAGGTACAATAATTTCAAACTATTTTACAAGATATAATACTTGTATTTATCGTACAGTGAACTGTGGAACTTCCGTGTCAGATATTATGTCGTACTCAACGTTTCAATTTAGGAATTCTTGTACATCAGTATTCGCTCTAGACAGGTATATTAATGCTGCTTTGAAGGATACATTATTTTCAGTATAGGAAAAAGCATATCCGAATGGTAGAACGTCCTCTCTCTCCCTGTCGTGAAGCTGCAAATGCAAAAGGAGATCCGCGCGCCGCCGTCCTCAGCTGGTGAACTGCGCGTGCAGCGTGGGCACGTAGTCGTCCCACTGCGCCAGGTAGTAGGTGCCGGCGACGGCCGGCTGCTCCAGCGCGAAGCGGTCCGCGAAGTGCTGCACGGAGAAGCGCGGCCGGCCGATGCGCGAGGTGGAGTTGCGGCGCGGCTCGTCGTCGAACTCCATGCGCCCCGGCTGCCGGAACACCTGCGCCGCGCGATCAGGCCTAGCTTCATTGATTGCTTCAGTGATTAATTACGTGAATGATTGGTTTAGTGATTGAATGAAGGATGGATTTAGTGATTGATTGATTTGGTGATTGGTTGATTGGTTTATTGATTGAATTATTGATTTCGTGATTGGATGATTGATTGATTTAGTGATTGGGTGATTTAGTGATTGATTGATTTAGTGATTGATTCCGGCCACGTTAACTACAAAGTCATTAATCCCGTGAGTGTGGTGCATGTTTTTGCTCGGGAGCTGGCGGCGATATTTCCCTTGCTGTATGGCAAGATTCGGCACCGACCTACCGTAGACTAGCGGGGTTTTCTCGAACCGGGTATCTCCCAACAGCGGGGCACCGCCCTTGCCGGGACAAGCTCCTAGCTCCCGACCGGACTCCCGGCATGTGTGCTTGCGTAGTGCGTGTTAGAGTGTGTTAAAGTGAGGGTGTGAGGATAGGACAAGAAAGAGGTAGGAAAGATCGCGCGCAGTCCGTGGCCTGTTTGATAGGGTTCTACTCCGGCATTCGCCTGGTGTTGATCGGAGAAACCACAGAAAAATACTGATACGAGCAGAAGCTTCCTGGAATTCGGCTGGAATTCTCCAGACAGCGTCTGAATTCGATCTAGCTCAGAGCTCGAGGCTCGGCCAAGGGGAAGTGCAAAGGCGACACCGCTGATGTAGGAGAAGTTACACTAAAGGCCCATTCACAATGCAAACATCAGCATAACCATAACGCGTAGACGTAAATATTAACATAAGTAATAAATTGAAGTATTCACAATATCTAACTTACACGTAAGCAAATTAAGGGTTTGTATTGGCTGTGAGACATTCTAATTTACTATTGGTTGGATGTGATAATCGATTTCGAGGTATCAACTGTGTCTATGGCCCATGGTACTTGGCTTTAGTTCCTCTATCGACTTCTATCCTATTTCGATAGAGTTAACGTATTTGGTTCATTTCTTATGTCTTACGTAAGCAAAGGCACATAAGCTTGAAGCTTGCAAGATTTTACGTTAAAGTCTTACGTGTTATGCTTGTGCGAACGCATTGTGAACGAGTGCGCTTATGGACGTAGTCCTAACGTTTATGTTAACGCCACGCTTATGTTTATGTTTTCATTGTGAATGGGTCTTAACAAGGGACGACTTTGACAGGTCGGGCAGCAATTGAACGCCACACACGGCGATGACTATGCAAGAGAGTGATGAAGCCATACACAAATGAGCTAACTGCACACGATCGCATGGATATGACCTGCAGTAATGTTGCCTGCAAAGGCCAAACAGTAGCTGTCAAAAGGGTCGCTTCTTGTGGTAACTCTGTATAACACGAGCGACCGGCTTAAGTGACTCAGGACATCAAGAGATGTCACTGCCTTGTCCCTGACCGGGAAGTACTTAAATTCCACTCTCGACGGTAGAAGGATTTTCGGCACTACGTACATAGCGAGATCGAATTCAGCCGCTATGGTCGACTGTTCTAATCGGTAGTTTTCCGTGGTTTCTCCGGTCAACACCAGGCAAATGCCCGAGCAGTACCCGTAACAAACGGACCACGAACCGTGCGCGATCTTTCCTTCCACGTCCTTGTTCTATCCTCGGCCCTTACATGCAGTACTCTAACACACATGCCGGGAGACCAGTCGTGAGCTTAGGGCGATGCCCCACTGCTGGGAGATACCTAGCTGGGAAAAACCCGGTGCAAGTCGGTGCTGAAGCTCGCGATTCTGCGGGGAAAATCACCGTCACCTCCTCCGATAAAACATACATTATACTTACGGGACTAATCATTTTGACATTTATGTGCCCGAAATCATTAATCAATCAACCAAACACGAGTGAGTGTTGGATTCCGGGCGCGCCAACTACTTAGGTCGTTGGTTCCGTAAGTGTGATGCATGTTATATCCCGTCGTGTGATGGCGTTCCTTCCCTGCTAGAACGTGATTTCTGGCGCCGACTTACACCTCGTTTTTCGAGATTTTCATCCTCTAGGTATCTCCTTTAGTAATGCTCCGCCTCAGCCGAGCTCAGCTGTAAGTTCTGACATGAGTGGTAGTACAGTGCATGCAAGTGTATGTGTTCATATAGGCACAAATGTAAGTGCAAGTTTATATTTAAAAAAAACGACAAGAACAGATAATGAAAGATGGTCCGGAGCCGTTTATTTTTACGTCATTTTTCTTTGCTTTTAGGGCGTTTCAAAGCATTTGATTGATCATTTTTGGCAATATTTTAGGTCATTAAAATCCGCCCCCTGGTCATCAGTGTACTTTTAAATTACAAAGGTTATATATCGAATGTCCATGCCTAATTCAAAGGGAAAGGGATTTGCACGCAGACATTGCCCTGAAGAGTGAAGTGGAGGTGTCTCGTTTTTATCGCAAGGTTTGCTCATATATTCAGCAGGGACCCGGGTATCCACAAAATGATGTTAATTGATGATAATTGTAAGTGTTAAAAAGTTCACTACTCTGGACACTTAAGTTTCACATTACCGAAAAAGGCTGATTGGTTCAAAGCTAAGGAATTTTAGATTCAATTCAGTGACGAGTGTAGGAAAATCTGGCATGATTTCGCTCCTTCCCCTTCTCTCTATTAGTTCCAGTATATTTCCCCTTCCTATTCTTGCGTTTCCTGCCCTACACCCTTCATCCCAAAGCACTCTTTCCACCCCGATTGCCTGTGTTAATCCCTCCCTCCTCGCAAGCCAGGCTTTGACCCTTTGTTCGGGACCGCCTTTCGTTTGGGGTTACGTACAAAGGGTTCCTCGCGTGTGTTGGGAGGGAAACACGCATTGTCGCAAGGGATGCGCGCTCTTTGTTGAAATGCTAATTCATACTAATGTAGTACATAATGGGTAAAACGAACACGTACAAACCACACAGATTCAGTAATTCAATCCTTTTTCATTTTTTACGCTCCTATTTTGGTTCATTTTAGAGGACAATTTATGTCTGCTCTACTTAAGAGATGCAACTTTAGTACGGTGTAATACGGTATATGCTGGTTGTGCAATTACGCATATGTGTGTTACAATTATATAAATTTGTAGGCCTACGTATAACAATTATATACATAGACTGTTTTATTACTCTGCACCTTCGGTGATGCAGATGCAGAACTTGAGTATTAGTTCGATTTGTGAACTTTCTCGTGCATGTTTTCCCTTCAGGGCATGGAGTTCGTCAAAGAGGGCCCCCTCAAGCAGCTGCAGTTGCGTCTCCCCCTTGGCGTCCCCGCGCGTGCTCCCGGGCGCTGCGCTTCCGGCCCTTTGTGTACGCACCAGCAGCACGTAGCGGTGCAGGCCGGTCCCCAGCGGCGGGCCCGAGCCCACGTACTCGGCCAGCACCTCGCCCCTGGCCACGTCGCCGCCCGGCACGTTGCCCACCAGCCAGTGCAGGAACTCGCGGTTGGTGGGGGTGGCGCGGCTGGGCGCGTCGGGGTCCGTCATGCACACCGTGTAGAAGTCCTGCGCGTTCGCCTCCCACGTCAGCGCCGGCGGGGCCTTCACCTGCGCAAGCACGCACGCACGCACGCGCGAGCCTCAGCCGGGGCGGCGCTCCGGGGCGGGAGCAGCGCGGGCGGGCGGCGGGCGAGGGACGGGGCGGACTGAGGTGGAAGCGGGATGGGGCGAGGCAGGCCGGGGCGGGCGGGGGACGTGAGGCAGGCTGGGCGGGCCAGGAGGAAGCGGAAAGCTGAGGTGGGGTCAGGGGACGCCGGGGTGGTGTTTATTTTTTTTGTTTTCGTCCGAAGGGCGGGAGACGGGGCAGATGGGGGACCGAGGCCAGAGTGAGGTGGGAGGGGGCCGGGGCCAATGCGCCCGGAGAGGTTGGGGCGGTGCACGCGGGAGCGGCGGCTAGAGGAGCTGGGGAGCGGGGGCAGAAGGCGAGAGCGCACGGCCGGGGACGCGCGACGGCAGGTGGAGGGCGGGGTTGATGGCGGAGCGGGGCGGCTGCGGAGGAGCGGGAGCGGGGAGGAGGCGAGAGCGGGTCGGGCGGGAGCGGGTTGGCTGGAGGAGGGGGCTGTGGCGCTGATGAGGATGCGGCTGCGGAGGAGCGGGCCGCATGGGAATGGGATCTGTGCACACAAGACAATGACCAGGAAGCCCCACAAGGGCTCACTGGGCAAAATATATACTACTAGAGACCTGCAACAGCAAAAATACTGATGAATCAAATGGATTTCCAATCAGTACCAGGCATACTGCTCAAAAACAACAAATAAAATTTCCTCGTATAACACTGCAATACATTAAATATTTTAACGAAAACATACCCCACGAGTAGGGCAATGGGCTAGTGATGGGATCCATTTCTGACAAGAAGTGTGTATGGAGATGAGGAGATCGAATGGCGATACTTTTCAACATCTTTGCAACTCAGAACATTTTTTCCTTAAAAAAATGTAATTTTATCTCTTATGCACGTCTTTCACATTTGTGCACTAAATAGCAAACAAGTTATTGTTGCACCTTACTTTTTAAGATACTGTTATGGGACTATATACGAGAGAATAAGAAAAAGTGATCTTTAGTACACAATTCTTGAGTTTCCTTAGAACTTTCTTTTTGTTATTTAAGTTCTTATGGTTGCTGGTGCCTTAGATCATGATCGATTTTGTACACGCGTAACTCAACTACGCTGACCAGAGGACTTGATATTTCCTAGCTTCATTTTTAAGAAGTTTTCATTTATGCTGAATTTAAAAATTATGATTATTTGTTACTGTATAATTCTTTATAACGTATTCTATTGAGTCGTTGAATGCCTCTCGTTACAATAAAAAATTTTGAAAAACTGTATTTGTGAATTTTTAACATCGGATTTGGGGGAGGGGGCGGTGAAGATCCATAAGCTCTCCCTCTCCTCGGATGCGTCTTCTGTTAGGTTTTTGATATCTCAAGGTCGAAAAGTTTTCTTTTTCTAGGCAGAGCAGTTAACAAAGGAAGGGGAACCGAAGGTGCTAAATACTAGAATCTGGAAATCATGAACTTTCGTGCGCGTTGTATACACCTCAGTTTTTGTACTCTTCTTGATTAGTTTTCTGAATAAATGAAACATATCAAGAAGGAAATTAAGACCTAAATTCTTGAGGAGGCAATTGAAAGTATTTCTTCGGAGTTGCCGAATGCTACGTAATCAACCATTTTATATAAAAAAATGTCAGCAGTGAGAGTTCCATTTAGCGTACAAGAAACAGCTCATAAGTTTCACGTTAAGATGTGAATAATCAAAACACATTCTAAAAATAATTTTCTCTAGGAATGTGTACTTGAGAGCGTCTATACAAGAATACAACGCTTATAAAATGTTCTCAGCCCGCTTCCATAAAAATGACATCACGCACCAGGTAGGCGCGGCGAGCAGCAATGGAATTTATTACCTTCTAGTTCCGTTTTTCAATCACAAAAGCATAGCAAAAGCAGCGATCGCCCGTTACGGAACACACGGCCGCAGCACTTGACCTACTATGTTCAGCCGGTATTAACAAAGGTCCGACGTGTCCACTGGAGATATTTTCCACAACGGAAGCACAGCTAATCAGTCGGAAAAATATTTATTTTTCTTAATGAAAAATCCTAGGAAATGGCTGTTAATATTGTTTTAGTTGTGGAGCAAACTTTGAACCGGCCCAGATTAGCATTTTAGATGAAAAGTTTAATGTCAATTTGCACAAGCTTAAAATAGATTTATTTTATATAGAGAGTCGTGATGCATCTCTCAAGTTAATTAATTCAAACGGGAAATATTATACAAGAAACGCAAATGTGCTGCAAGACAGTAGCGTGCGTATTAGAAGTCTTTATTTTCCAGTAGGACAATATTCTGAAGACCTCTGAGGATGCGTGTAACTATAAAACGAATTTGCAATTAATGGTTTCATGTTCAAGTAAAAAATGTTTAAAGTTCAGAAAAGAAAACTAAATCAGAATTAACTATACGGGATTTGAATACTAGTTTTCTTGGACAATAAAGCATAATAATGTTCAGATCTGGTAAATATAGATTCTGTTTAGGTGAGCCTCTAGCTCTTGAACAAGATTCCCCGTATCTGTACGTGCGGATATTACAAGAGTAGTATATAACTAAATACACGTCGTGAATAAAACGTAATTACTGAAGCCACGTCGTGAATAAAACGCAACTGCAGTAATAAGAGGCGTATCTACGGTATGGCAGCGCCGTGAGCATCACTCACAGGGGGCGCTACTTGGGGTGTACCCGCTAAAACAAATAACAACCG